ATATATATATATATAAATGTATTTTTATAAGTTTTAGCAAAACCTAGAAAAAAACCACATGATTTTGTGGCTATTATTGATTATGCTACCATGAAGCAAAATACAAGTTTTTAAAATATTTTAGGGAGCCAGGTATGGTGGCCCACTCCTGTAATCTCAGCACTGTGTAGTTGAGGCAAGTTCAGGTCCAGCCTAGCCAATTTAATGACTTGGCAAGACTGTCTCAAAAAATAAAAATGGGACTCCCCAGTACCAAAATAAGTAAATGAAATAAAAAATTTAAAAAATAGGGCTAAGGATTTAGCTCAGTGGTTCTGGTGCCTGCCTTGCAAGCACAAGGACCCGAGTTTGATCCCCAGTACCAAATAATAATGAAAATAATAATAATAATGGGTTAGCAATGTAGCTATGTAAGAAGACCCTGGGTTCAACCCCCAGAATTGCAAGATAGATAAGATAGATGAGAATTTGAAAGAAAACTGGGGCAAAATATATGTATCAATATTTAATATGCCTAAATAGTTTTAAAAACTTAAGTTTTTTGTTTTTGTAGTACTAGAGATTGAACCAAAGCCCTCATGCAAATGCTAGACAAGTACTATACAACTGAGCTGCATCCCAACCTCCATCTTTTTTATGTGGTACTGGGGATACTGAGCTACCTACATCCCCAGCTCTTTTGCGGGGGGCAAGTTTTCACAAAATTGCCTGGGTTGCCCTTAAATCTACAATCTTCCTGCCTTAGCCTCCCTAAATGCTGGAATTACAGGCATGCACCACCATGTCTTATACCAGCCTTTTTATTTGCTTTTTGGTACTGGGGGAAGAAACTAGGGCCTTCATATCTTCATACTGAGCTACATTCCCCAGTCCTTTTTTATTGTTTTTTTAATATTTTAATTTTTTTATTTATTTATTTTGACACAGGGTCTCGCTGTGTAGTTCCGACTAGCCTTAAACTCACTATGTAGCCCAGGCTGACCTTGCATGGAACCTTTTGCCTCAGCCTCCTGAGAGCTGGGATCACAGGCATATGCCACCACCTCCTGCTTCCCAGCTCTTTTTAAATTTTATTTTGAGATAGAGCCTCACTAAACTGTATAGTCTGGCCTCAAAATTGCTATCCTCCTGACTCAGTCTGAGTATCTGGGATTACAGGTATGTGTCCCAAGCCAGTACATTTTGTGTTATGTGTATCTTGCCACAATTTAAAAAACAAAAGAAGCAAGGGAAAAATCTATATGAGGAGAGGCAGAGAACAGTTGAGTGTTGCCAGGAGCCTGGGAAGGGGCCAGTAGAACATGGCATACAAGGTAACCTAGGGACCCTGCAGGAAGAGTGTTCTAGATTAGGACTGAGGCAGGGGTGCACAAACTGACACAGGTGACAAAGTGCACAGAACTCACATGCACACAGAGTGTGCACAATTGGGAAAACTGCATAAGGAGGTGGACTTTATCCATGTCACAATCTGGTTATTTCTTACAACTACTAGTGAATCTATAATTATCTCAAAATAAAATAAAAGCAGCTGGAGGCTGGGGATTTAGCTCAGTGGCACTGCACCTGCCTCATAAGTGCAAGGTCCTGAGTTTGATCCCTAGTGCTGAAAAATAAAAATGTTTAAAAATATTTAAAAATTAAAAAAACAAAAGCATCTGGGTGTGGAGGCACAAGTCTGTAAGCCTAGAACTCAGGAGGCCAGGGCCAGGGATTTAGCTCAGTGGTGCTGCTGCCTGCCTTGCAAGCACAAGGTCCTGAGTTTGATCCCCGGTACCAAAAAAAAAAAAAAAAGAAAAAACAAGTGCATGCTCTAAAACCCACCCTGGACTATACAGTGAGTTCAAGGCCAGCCTGAACTACATACCAAGACCCTGTCTCCAAAACATAAAACAAGATATATATAGACCAGAAATGGCCAAAAGGTACAGCCATCAGTCACGTGGTTTGAAGTGAGTTCCTTTGAATTCTAGTTTCTCTGCATACTAACTGACCAGACTAGTTGCTTAGACTCTATGCCTTAATTTCCTCATTTACAAATTGAAGGCAGTGACAGGTGTTACTTAAGGTGTTGCCTGTGATCAGTGCTTAATAAGGGTCCACTCTTATCAGTCATCATCCTGAGTCCCTTGGGCAGAGTCCTTTCCAGGACCATTGCCCACCCTAAATCAGAAAGCAATTCTGGCTCCTAGCAACTAGAAGTCCCTCTACCACCCACCATGTGTCCCACAGTGACTCACTGAGGCCAGGGCGGTGCACCTCACGCAGGGTATGGGTCATCCCCGCCTTGTAGCCCAGGAAGGCTGTAAGATGTACAGGCTGGCTAGGGTCATCCCTTGGCCATGTTTTCACCTTGCCCCGGTGCCGATGGCTCCTCTTGTGGGGCAGGAAGCCCAGGTGTCCATGCCGTGGGGCGGAGAACTTCCTGTGGGACTTGGGAACAGGAAGAAGGGAGGTCAGAGTTAGGAGAGTAACATCAGGCAGGTCCCAGAATCCAGACATGGAAAATGGGTCAGAGACCCCAGGCAGAGGGCCAAGTGGTCCTCAGGGTTGCCCAGTCTGTCTAGAGGAAGGAGGGGGCAACAAGGGGTATAGACTTAGGGGTGGGGCCTCTTCACCAGTGGCTTCCTGCTTTCAAGGGCTCTGCATGGTGGGACCCAAAAGATTGAGAGACACTGAGGTTGAGTGCTCTCTGGGGGCAGGTGGCTGCTGCCACCTGTCCATCTCGTTTCTTCTAGGCCTAGCACCTCAGCCCTGGCCCCTTGCTGCCTCCTCCAACTTCCCTTCCCTTGCAGTTGGGAGGACCGTCCCTGCTTGGAGGACAGCCAAGTGACACCCACCAGCCCACGCCCCAGGAATGTCAGTTTGTCCTAGATCCAGCCCCAGCCCACTGACCATGACAGCCAGCCGATCCCTGCAGGTCAGGAAGGGGCCTCCCCACCAGGCAACAGAGGTCGAGTGGCAGAGCCAGGACACGCAGCAGCCAGGTTCCAGATTTAGACCCTGGCAGGGGAGCTCAATCATCTCATGTGGCCAGCATGGTCTCCAGTGCCAGAAGCCAGCCAGGGCGGGGCATCAGATAGCAGCCTAGGTAGGGACACCTAGAGGCAGGCCTGACACCCTCTTTTCCTGTATGTGACTGGGTCACAACCCTCCCAGGACAGAACCAATTTGGCCTGATAGGGGCAATGCACCCTAGTAAGGGGTTTTTCTCAGGCAGCAGCCAGGAAGAGTCTGAGTCCCATTTGCTGAAAATATCCAGCTTCCTGTCTTGAGATCTGTGAGACTGACCTGGACATATGTGGTAGAAGAGGTGGATGGGGAGATGGAGCAGGGGGGATTGATCACATATCCCATCATGATTCTGAGCTGGGCACCTCTGTAATCTCAGTAGTCTGGGAGGCTGAGACAGAAGGAGCACAAGTTGGAATCCAGCCTGGGCAACTTAGTGACTGAGTAAGACTGTTTCTAAACTATTTAATTAATTTAAAAGGCTGGGGAGATGGCTCAGTAAAAAGGCTCTGGGTTCAATTCCTAGTACTGCCAAAATCCCCAAAAATATCAAGATTCTTGAATCCTGTGAACATTGACTTTATGAATTTAAATCTTAAAGTTTTGAGTGGAGCCAGGTGTGGTGGCACATGCCTGTAATCCCAGCACTTGGGAGGCTGAGGCAGGAGGATCGCTGTGAGTTCAAGACCAGCCTGGGCTACATAGTGAGTTCCAGGTGAGTCTCAACTACATAGTGAGACCCTGTCTCGAAAAAACCCAAAAATAAATAAATAAAATAAAGTTTTGAGTGGAAGAAAGAGTTAAAATCTTTGAGACAATACAAGCTTCCTCAAATCATATATCTTGGCCTAATATATCCTTAAAATTTGTGGATTTTGCATCACTAGATACTGAGATTCTATGCTACCAAAATGTTAAGATTCTGTGTTTCTGAGAGTTCATAATTTGAAAATCTGACGTTTCTATTTCTAGACTCTGTGGTCCCCGAGAGCTGGCTTGGCCAGTCCATGTAGTGCTCTGACAGAGATAGCAGGGCTGTAGAGAAGGCTGTAGAGGATGGACAAGCCCGGCGTTTAGTATTTTGAGATATTCATTCATTCACTTTTTTGTTGTGTGTGCTCTACCAGCCTGTGTTTTCTATAAGAGCCAGGCCATGTCTATCTCACTTTCTACTGCTCTTGGCATAGGGCCTGGCACACAGCAACACCTGGATGAATTGTCTTATTCATTTTTCTTTGCTTCTTTTGTAATGCAGGCTGGCCTTGAACTCGCTATGTGAGCTCAGGCCGGCCTCAAACGCGTAGTGATACTCCTGCCTCATCTCCCCACCCCACCCCCGGTACTGGGGATCGAACTCAGGACCTTGTGCTTGTAAAGCAGGAGGCGCGGCACCACTGAGCTAAATACACGGCCCCTGCCTCAACTTCTTGAGTGCTAGGATTACAAGCGCGCCCCCACCACTCCCTACTAAGAGTCTTCTCTATTCCAGCGGCTGCTTGTTCCAGCAGCAAAGCAGGAGAGGAGGTCCCGAGTGCAACCGCGCCAGGTACCACGCGGGGGCGCCCGCAGAAATCCACAAGCCCCGTGGTGCCCCGCGGCAGCCCGGGCGCGCAAAGCCCACAACGCAGGCGCGGTGTCCGACTCACTGCGCAGGCGTAGCGGCCGAGGGTTCTCGGTAGGACAAATAGGGGCCGACCGGGCCCGACGCAGGCCAGAGGAGACCGGCACGGCGATCCCCGCTGCCATGCCGGACCCTTACGACAAGGACGTGTACCCTGAGCCCCCGCGCCGCACGCCAGCGCCCTCGCCGCAGACGTCGCTACCCAACCCCATCACCTACCTGACCAAAGCCTTCGACCTCCTAGTAGACCGGCCTGTGACCCTCGTGAGAGGTACGGGACCTGGATTCCAACCACCCTGCGGGGACCTTTGGTATCCCACCGCTCCCGCGTCAGGCGCCCCGCGGCCGCCATCCGGAAACCCCCGAGCTCGGTTACCTCCTTTGACCTTGCCCCTGTACTCTGGTTTTCGCTCCCCTGGTGCCTATCAGGAAACTCCGGAGCTCTGGCGACTCGTTTGACGTCCCCACTGCACCTTGGACCCTTCCCCCGGGCTTTCGCTACCCTCGGCCTTACGGAGGAGCCCGTGGCCTGCGTTCTCAGCCTTCCTGATATTAGGGGTTTGCACTCAAATTATTTGAGCCCCTGGGCTGAGTAGACCCACCCCACCCCTGCAGCACACTTTGCTCAGCGTGCAGAGGAAGCCTGTGTTGAACTTGCACGTTCTCAGGGTAGTCATCAGCCCCCTCGGGTTACAGTTCTTCACCAGTGTGATCGCTGGTGGTAGAGTGCCAGAAGTGCCTCAGTTTTCACCTCTGGTCCCAATCAGAGAATACTCTATGAAGCTCTTTCCTTTTCTTTTTTTTTTTTTTGTACTGGGGATTGAACTCAGGTCCTTGCGCTTGCGAAGCAGTGGCCGGAACCACTGAGCCTAAATCCCCGGCCCTATGAAGTTCTTTCTGATCCTGTTTGCCAACCTCGCAGGCAACAGCAAGAGCACACTGTGCCAACCGTTACAAGTGCCAGGCACTTCATCCATTCAATGAAGCAACTCATTTGTTGAACGAGGAAACATTTGGGGTGCACAGCCTTCTTAGGTGGTGGTGGTGGTTTTTTTGTTTTGACATCACACTAGTGCGAACTCACCTTGAACTTACTATGTAGTCCAGGCTGGCCTCAAATTTGCAGGATCTTCCTGCATCAGCCTCTTGAGTGCACCACCACGCCTGGCTTGTTTTT